TGATTGGGAAATTGGTGGGTTTCCCCAGGTAAACCTATTTTTTAAATGGGATTAGTAACCCGATTTTTGATACCACTGGGGTTTGACCCCCTGACCTCTGGTATCATCACCTAGAGGTCTGACCAGTGAGCTAACACTTGGTTGGTCCTACTATTGTTTGCTACATTATACCAAAATTATATTATTAACCCGATATTTCCCAGGGAATAATTACACAGACTAATCAAACAGACCCTAAATTAAATGATTCCTCCTGCCATGTAACATATACTCATTTACCTAATTAGCCAGTTTACACATCCAAACACAAAGACAGCTAGCAAGCGATACAATCGATAATTAAATCTTGATCAACCAAGTATTAAGTCATTAACAATGCCTAAAGTTAACAACAGGAATTTGAGCTAGGATCAGAGATGCTGAAATCTCGCGATGATCTTACTGATAAGTGACATAATTAAGGCCAAATATATACAGGGAAAAAGTTAGATTGATGTATTCTTTTGGGAGCTGACAGGCTCATTATGAAGGGTGAGTCTGAGGCTGTCGAAATGAGCACAAATGCACTTGGATTAACCATGAAGTGTATGGAGTTTGAATTTTAGAGCCTTTCTAAATGAGCACAATCCTCATCAGCAGGTGAAAAACCCCGTCAATCTACACAGATACAACTACCAGACCCTGCAGAAAATTAAGGGTACAAGAATGTTACAGCCCAACAGTTTTATTCCAATGTCGAACCAACGCGTAAAACTGATGCTTGCTGCGTTCGATCAAACTGTACTTTCGAATAGCCATCCACGCCCATAAGAATGCCTTGAGCCCTTGACCCTCCTGCAGGCTTCTTCAACTGTCATAGAGGCTTCTCGGAACAAAATCTCGCTCCTATTCGACCAGATGACCCCACACCAGACTGTAGGGCAGCATAGACCAAAGGAAGGTACCAATACCTGTAAGGTTTATTTTAGGCCTGTGAGCAATCACCCCCATGATACTCTGTTCTTCCTGAACCAGCTGCTGGGCTGCTTGGCAGTTGATAAGAAGATTCCTCCATATCTCTGCAGTTTTTCCGCAGCCCTGAAAATTGTGATATTTCACACCTACATAGTACACATCTGTTAACCAATTGCCACCCCATCCTCTTGAGTCTGTCCACAGTAAGGATATTCTCCCAAGCCAAAGACCACATGAAAACTTTGACGTTGGTAGAAATGTCGGCACCCCAGACTAGCTTATGAGCAAAGTTCAATTCAAATTTGGAATATTACAAAGTAAACTTTAAGGAATTTCTTCTTCAGCATTTTTAGGCTGTTCCGTGTTCCTAAGGAAGAGATCCCAGAAAACGACAGTGATTGATCTGCTCTGAATTTGAAATAGTTGGAATATTACAAAGTAAACTTTAAGGAAACCCGCTTAACAGTAGTTAAAATCAATTTCCTTACTTAGCTTGCTCAATGCAGTTTGTTGTCTTTGGAGTTGCAAAGTTTATAGCAAAACTCCTTCGCTGTGTATGGCAGTGTAAAGAAGTAGTCGTGTTCATGTACATGTTTCGAATGCAGTTAATCTCGTACAGTTTGACCTTATTATGATGCTGAAGTATTTTTGTATTCGCAAAAACCATGGAAAACATGTCTGAATTCTCCACCAGTATCTACACTCTTATATATATGTGAACCACATGCTTAACTGATTGATTCTGCCTGCCATATAACAAATACTCATTTACGTGATTAGCCAGTTTTACAGATCCAAACACAAAAACAAGGCGTAACGTGATAAGCCAATTTTTCAATCCAAACATATTTTGGCGAAAATATGTATCAGATTCTTTTCACCAAAAGTGTTCACTAGTGTAATATAATGTACATGTGCCAACAAAGTATGTAAGTCATTAACAAGGCGTCAAGGCCTAGTTAACAGAGTTTTGAGCTAAGATCTGGGACGTCGAAAATCCAGCAACCATCTTATTCAATCCTTCAATCTATTCTGAAACTTGGGATAGTCTCATATTAGATAAAGCACGCGAATATGAAGAATGACCACACTACACAAAAGAGAGACTAGCTTACTGGCATAAGCATACCTTTCTCGGCATTTTGGCTAAGATCAAGTGTAGTATCTGTTCTTATCAGTTTAATATTTGATACGTGTGGCATCGCCTCACATGATATTAAATTAATTTATGCTCTTAGGGGGAATCCATCACAACAGCTTGCTGTTGAGGCTCTCAAGTGTCGCCCTTGCGTTGCACTACTGCAAGGGCCTGGCGCACACCTAACAAAACAAGTTTAACAGTTTATTGGATTATAAGTCTACCATATGTCCATATCCCAATCTCTAGATAAGCCACTGGATGGTAAAAGGTTGACAAAATACTAAAATATCGACAATGATATCAAGAATGTCAAATTTGGTTCCATTATTTTTCATAACTTAGATAAGGCTGAGATGCCTTAAGCTAAACTTTATTCCTCCAATATTGAAGCCAAGTGCCTTGTAACACCCCCTAGAGGCCAATCTAGAATGACTAATTGAGAATTTTGGTATCTTTGTTTTGCCACTGATGTCAAGTGCCAAAGATATGGATATATCTCTACAGAATTGACTCGATTTTTCACGTTTTGTATTGTTCAACAAACTATAAAAGGGCCTTCATCAGTTCTCTTGAACATAAGAAACATCAACAAACTATCTATAGTAGAGATTGAAGCATCTAGGCATTAGTTGTTCACTCTCCCTCAAGGGCTTCTAATGTTCATATAGAGAATTCTTATGTAACTAACTAGAAGAACTTGAGGGAGAACGAACAAACAATGTCTCGCATGAAAGGGTTGGCTCACTTGCAAAGGCTGGGAGTGAACATTTTATAGGTCGAAGCTACATATGAATGTACAATGTGGTTGATAGAGGCACCTACTATGGCATTCATTACTCACTCTCCCTCAAGGGCTTCTGGAATTGCCAGAGGCGAAGTCTGAAGTTCTTGGGGCGAGTGAATAGTAACTGTCATGATTCAAGTATTTGATATGGTTTATTCTTAACACAAGGCGTCTGACATTATGTTCTTTCAGAGGTATTCTTAGTTTAATTTGAGATTGTTATTATGTGTTTTCTTGTTGAATATGGTTTTTATCTCTCCTGTCCTCAAGAACTCATATGGTAGTTATTAAGAGCAACTGTGTACGTAGTAGGAATCTTCTAGATTTCATACTTCACAAAGACCTTATCATGATTAGAAAGGACTCTGATTGGGTTTGACATCAGGTAAAAGACTGGAGTCTGACAGGTTTCCACACCACTTTTTGAGCTGGTTTATACACTCCTTCTACTCATGTTTCTAGTCAGTCTTTAAGTATGAAGTGTGAGCTTTCTTACGTATCCTTAGGATTGCCAATAAGAGTTTTCTAACATGTTCGTTTAAGGACTCAAAGTTGACTAGTTGAAACTATATTTCTGCTACTTTTTCTTTCTTTTAAGCTTTTCTCAGTGATACGAACCTGTAAACACGTAATTCTAACCATACCGAACATATCATATCACTTATTAATACAGTAACTTGGGACATTCATGCATGTTGTAAGGGTGTAAACACTTTTCAGTGCTTAGCAAGTAAATTCCATATGCATTTATTTCTCTCCCCTCGCTATTTGTATAATTAGTAAATAGATCGAAGTAAAAAAATGTGTCCAAATTCTCTGTCTATGCAGCCACTCACAGCCAATGGGATGTCCTGCTTGCAACGACATCCTCATGCAAATTTATATGCAACCAAAGACACGAATAAACGGTTGAGAACTTGCTTCAACGTAAGCCGAGCCAATAAAAAATGAGACGTCAAAGAAGATGAAGTAGAGTAATTGATAGGAACAATGTTTGGATCGAAAATTTTAATCTGTTGTGATATTGTATGTGGGATTTGATAGACCAATAGAAAAACCTACACCTAAGGGTGTTGTTAACCATAGTGGAACCAAATTAAAATTGTTTATTACCTTCGAAAACAGGTGGCAACTTTTCATTAGTCCAACAAAACCCACAGATAAAACTCACAACAGATTAAATTTTTCGAACCATTAGTCCAACAAAACTCACAACAGATTAAATTTTTGATGTTCGAAAAATTTAATCTGTTGTGATATTTGTATGTGGGATATGTTGGACCAATAAAAAACCTACACCCTAGGGTGTTGTTAACCCTAGTAGGGCCAAATTAAAATTGTTTAATAACTTTTATAACAGGTGGCAACTTTCCATTAGTCCCCACAAAACCCACAGATAAAACTCACAACAGATTAAATTTTTTGATATTCGAAAAATTTAATCTGGTGTGATATTTGTATGTGGGATCATGTACGATTAAGATGAGTTCTGCATCGAGAACTAGAAGATCTTAACTATTTATAAAGCGGGGGTGGAGTTTGAGATTGGTTTGCGTAACATGTTTGCTCTGACAAACTAATATATAGCCACTTTTTACTAAGTTCCTATTATACCCTTATGTGTTAACACTTCCGTAAGAAGTAATCAAATGTAAAGATTATTTAAGTAATTTTGTAATAGTGGCCCAACTATATTTCGGAGAGTTTAAAACTCTCGAATTAATTTTTCAAAAAATAGCATGTGCATAACACGTGTAGAACAACTTAGTTAAGTTTAAGAAAAGTGGGACTTGCGAATGGGCCTGTGGCTCAATAGTAGGATCCCTCTCTCAAATTGGAAAAGTTGTGGGTTTGCCATGACATCGACAGATTATTTGATATAAGTTTTGCCATGTAATTTAAAAAAGGTTGGGTCCCCTTAACCACGCTTGCCAATAAAAAAAAAGTGAGAATTATATAAATTAGATGAAAAGTTGGATCTTTTGGTCTTCCTTAGATAATCGCAGTTATTGCTCTGTTACTGATGTTGCACCTATTACTGCTAATGTGCAGCCCCAATTACCTTTCTATCCATTGGTTCTTAGTTAATTTCATTTATGTCTCTTTATAGTTATGTTTATTCAGTAAGGCCAAGGGCTTGTGCCTGATTAGTAGGGGTGGGCATCAATCCGATCGGTCCTAGATAACACTAGGATTAGGACCAAACCGACACTATACTATCCATTTGGTTTCGATTCTAGGAGAAAAAAAAAATTAAATGTAACCGAAGACCGAACCGAACTGGATCAAGTATAAGCAATCTGGATTCAGTTCGATTCTCGGTCCTGGGGTTTTAATCCACTAAAGTATGAATTTTATTGTTATATTGGATATAGTCTACAGAACAAAATAAAACCTGCACCAAATCAAGTTCACTAGATAAATAAAATAGTCCAAAACCATAAATCTTTTATCATAATCTAAGTATATTTAGCAATTTTCTAAGGCTTCCACGTCCCAACTACGATTTTGTTGATTTATCAAATCTGTAACCGTAGATGAAACACTTGTACTTGGAGGTGGCCCGTGCGGTTTTCAATTAGGCAGAGTGGGAATCCACGGATCTAGCCATATATGCACATTAGCTCCATCTCCTATGTGATAACGTAGATTTGGTAGGATCTCATCTCTAGCTTGCATAATGCCAATCCAGATTTTTGATGCGTCATTGCGACATTTTGCTCTTAGGATTGAAGTTCCAGAAGCATACTTTTTAACGAGACTTGTACTCCACCGCTTATCTGGTTTTTTAATAAGTCTCTAGAACAGTTTCACTAGCAAGGCCTTATTGTGGTATTCAGAGGTCCTCACGCCTAGGCCTCCCAAGGACTTTGGCTTACAGATCTTTTTCCAGCTAAGAAAATGAGTCATGTTTTTGTTATTTTCATTTTTACCCCAGAAGAAGTTGGCGTTCATAGAGTCTAACTTCCCACACACAGACACCGGCATAGCAAAAACCGACATGAGATAAGAGAGGATAGCAGAAGTAACAGTTTCGATAAGCGTTCGTTCTTGAGAAAGAAGTTTAGCCCTCCAACCTTCCATTTTCTGAAGAACTCTAACTGTAGTTTCTTGAAAACCTTGTCCATTATATTGTTTTGAGTTAGAACAAGAGAAGCTCCCAAATATTTATCAGCTGTTATATTCTTGTTAATCTTGATGATCCTTTTAATCAACCTCTGATGTCTATGATGGATGTTTCTACTAAAGAAAATTCCAGACTTTTGGAAATTTATTTATTGTCTGGATACCCTTCTAAAACTATCTAAAATGTCATGGAGTTTATGAGATTGATCAAGATTTTCCCTACAGAAGATAAAGCTATCATCAGCGAAAAAGAGGTGCGAGATAGGAGTATCATTTCTGCTGATTTTTATGCCATGGATTTGATTTTCGACCTCTGCTTAACTCAAATGCCTAGATAAGAATTCAGCGCAAATGATGAAAAGAAAGGGTGACAACGGATCACCTTGTCTAATCCCTCTTTCAGGGTTGAGGTAGCCCGTGGGAGAGCCATTGAACTTAAACGATAAAGAAGTTGTACAAATGCATTTATTTATCCAGTTGCAACATTTTTCACAGAAACCAAAAGCTTTTAGGGTCTCAATAATAAAATCTCATTCAACCCTGTCAAAGGTTTTCCTCATGTCAAGCTTAATAGTCATACATGACAACTCCCTTTTTTTCACTTAAGAGTCTTAATGATCTCATGGGTCAATACAATATCATCAAAAATTTGCCTTCCTTTCACAAAAGCACTCTGGGAGGGCAAAATAAACTTCTCAAGGAGCGGTTTGAGTCTATTAGCAAGGATTTTGGTGAGAATCCTAAAGCTTACATTGCAAAGGCTAATAGGACGGAATTGATTTAAATTTTCTGGCCCTTGGGTCTTTGGGATAAGCGCGATATTGGTGTGATTGAATTCCTTAAGCAGATGCTCTGAATTCATGAAGCTCTGGATAGTTTGACAAAGATCGAGGTGGATACCAGAATTTTTGGTAAAAAAATGGCATAAAGCCATCAGGATCAGGCGCTTTATGTGGATCCATGGAGAAAAGAACAACTTTTACTTCTGCTACTGTGATTTCCTCAGTCAGCTCAAAATTTTCGGACTAATAATGTTTAGGTCGGCCACATGGATATCAGGGTGGGAAGAGGTAAAGAGCTTTAAAAAATGATCATCAATAGTGTGACTAATACGATCACTACCTTCGACCTAGTTGACATATAAAATGATCCTCTAATTTTGTTAATCTCAATCCGGTTCCTTCTAACCACCGTTGACATATAAAATAAACGGGAGTTGGTTCCATCACAACTGATTTTAGTTTCCCTTGATTTGTCTCTCAAAAGTTTTTCTTGAAGCTTTAAGGCCTCATGAAGGTCATTTTGCAAAATATTTTCTTTAACGTAATCAAAATGAGGCCCATTTTGGCACACCTTAATAGATTCTCTCAAGTTCTTAATGCACACATGGATATTACCAAACTCATTTTGGTTCCAGGTCTTCGAATCCTTTCGGACTCTCTTGAGTTTCGACAAAACCGGTAAGCATAAGATCCATTTACGTTGTTTCTCAAAGACTTGGTTATAACACCTTTAGAGCATCTCTAATGCAACATCTATAATATAGCCTCCACCTAGGATAAAAAGGCCTCCACCTAGGATAGAATAGAAGGTGCTAAATTGCTATTCCTGTTATATCAAACAGTATCCCTAATGCAAATTGTCAAAAATGCTAAAACCATAAATTAGACGCAATACCATGTTGCGTATGATTTTTATTTCATTCTACGCAAGACTATATTGCGTATGACTTTATTTCATTTAGACGCAATACCATGTTGCGTATAGTTTCAATTTTGAGGTGGAAAGTTATACGCAATACCATGTTGCGTATGGTTTTAATTTTGACCTAAAATTTTATACGCAATAACATGTTGCGTGCAATCAAAAAACATAGAAAATCGATTTCTCTCTTCCTTCCCCCATCACAGTAGCAGAAGTTGTTAAGTTTTTTTCCCCATTTTCAGAAGTTCTTCTTCTTCAAAACAAATTTTTAATCGAAATT